TACCTGCGACAGGCAACACGGGTGCCTAACGACGCCATCCTTGATAACGCAGGTGACTCCATCGTCTCGTCGCTCCCTAGGGCTCCTCTGGCACCCATTTCCTCCACTTTTCCTTGATCAGAGAAACGGGTCTCACTGAGCGCCGTGATAGCCACTTTGTAGCGATCCTGCTTCCGGGCGATAAGACCAGTTCTCCCTTCTGCCGCCGAATTTCATAAACACAAGGGAACATAACAGGACACCAGGGTGTAGTGTTTCTACGGTAGCAGTTGTTTCGAGCGAATTAGTTACACTCACATGTCGGTCAGCTTACCAGCTATGTGCTCTGTCAGCACTTTTAAAGCACATTTTCCAGCCTCGTCGTTCACGAAGGACTGCTGTCACTTCAGGCGGCTGTCGAATTCCCCAGTTACAGTGGAAAAACCCCAATTAGCCAAAGCTGCCTGCGGGATTGCATGTCACCCTCAACAGGCCTTTTTATTTGAGGAGGGAAAATGGGAACTACTGGATGTGGAGACAGACATGAAAGACGTCCCCATCCTGATTATCCAGCCTGCCAAAGACAGTAAACAAGGTATAACCGCCTGATCATACCAGTCTACATGCCGTTGCGTATGTTAACTCTCTAGGCATGACAGTCTGCGGCAGCATACCTTCGATGTGATTTTGCCATGCAACGCTCACCCGGTGGCATCGATGAGCCGGGAACGACCAAACAGCGCCGACGTGGTACGCCGCCTACGACATAACCAGATAATTAACCTTCGGCGGATGTGAAACGAACCTTAGTTTCTGGGGCAGATTCTCGTTCGCAGGGCTTGGTCAGAGATTCAGGATGTCTAACAGTTCTTCATCAACCAGTTCTCAACCGCAACTTTCCATGTCCAGTTATGGGTTTCGCATGAAGATTGGAGCAGTTCGTATCAACTGTCTCATTGTAAGTCCAACGTCCATTAAATGACACCAAACTTTCATTTGTGGCTCCCCAAAGCTAAGCTCTACCTAGCGGCCAAACCGAAGTGACCGCATTGACCGGAGGGTTAAACCTAGAGAGAGAGTATCCGAGGTTTTCTGCGTACTCACACCTGTTAACTTTGCTTTCCTTCCCCTCTCCCGTTTTCGAAATTCATACGGAAGGGGCGGCGTGCAATTCCGTAGGCCGCCTGGGCTAACTCAAGTCGTTCCCCACTAAACAGAGCCGTGACACATAGCGGAGTTTGGCAACCGCCTCAGATGTCCAGGCAGCCTAATTTAGGGATGGCATTGTTTATCCCCTGGCGGGGAACGGATAGTGGCTGGGACCACGAAGTGGGAAGAGTGAGTGAGGGCATATTCCAGCTACAAAGAAAATCTCAGTACGCTAAAAGCCGTGGCTTGGGAGGCTGCCGCCTTAGGGAATAACGCAGACCTCTTAGGTGTGTGTTTGTGTGAAGTGGTGGAATGAGAGTCAGGCTACAATGGCTACCTCTTAATGCGCCTTCTATGACACGCCCATTTCGTGGGATCAGAGCCGCGCCCTCTTCTCTTGTTGTGTAAAATCGTGGTCAGAGTACGTTGTGGACAAGGGGATGTGGTAGTACGCCTAGGTGGAGGTTTACGCCGTGCCATCCGCCTACGCACTCCCCCGCTTCCGGTCATCTTAACTATTTCTTGACACCGGGTGCAGGTGGGGAGAGGACGGTAGTGTTGCGCAAGTCCATCATCGTTAAACTAATTCACGTGCAAGTGGCCGGGCACCAGTGTCCGGAGCTCCGGCATACACTCGTCGCACCCTCCTCTGCTGCCCGCACTGTACATGCGCTTTCACACACCGTATGGGTCTATTCGGTCAAATGCGCAGACACGAAAGCGGAGATCACCGCAGTATCGATACTCCAAACACATCCGACATGCTCGACAACCCTCGCATGTCCAGCACGAACGACCCCCCATCTACCATCATGACCCTGGCTAATCGCCTCACCACTGCAATCGATTTTACAGCCCCGAATCTATCCCGCCCTCAGTGCCACCGTGCATGTACATCATGCATCGGCTTGGTGGGTCACTTGTGAATTCATCGCACAGACCGGCGAACCAATGGGAGGAGCATCAACATACACTCACCGAACCCGCCTCAACTGTCCACGCACATTCACTCACCGTATAGGCCTATTAGGCCACAGGCACCTTCATGAAAACCTGAGGTAGAACGCCGCCGGCGATACCGTGTCAGCATATCTCACGAGCACCCACAACACACATGACCCTTCCCAGCGTCACAAAACGCAAGCACGTAATTGGCACCTCTCAGGTACATAGGAAGCGTGTTCCTCGGCTCCTTCTCCATGTGCTTCCTATAATGGGAATAGAGTGAGATTGACGCCCCAGCACACTTTCTTGACAATAAACAATCTGACGCACTTGAGGCTATCACAGTGCGCTAAAAGCCGCAGCCTGTAAGGTAGCCAACCGACGGGATAACTCAGACTTCGCAGTCAGCCCAGTTTGTGCGGAGTGGCCAACTGTGGCCTTAATGGCTCTCTCATTTCATGGGAGTTGAACCGGTGGTGGTACGCCTAGGGGCGGTTCCGGCCACGCCAGTCACTTGCAGCCTCGGCCCTCCCGACTTGGTCATGACATTGAGTCCTAGTTAGGAAGGGGAGAGTGCGTTAGGTGCGGCGCAAGTCCACTATCATTATAAAGTAATTCATGCGCAAGTCACCGTCCCTGTGCCACCGTATTCTGGGGCACACGGTGGACGTCGTCGGATACGACGGTCGAAGTGTCGTACCCTTCCACACAAGCAAGGTGTATCAGTGAACGGCAAGCGTATATAGGTTTGAACATGGGTATGGCTGCTGACGACGACTAATAAGTCGGAAATGGCCCTAACGGTCTTCCTTGTCTTTGTCGGTATCAACGTACCTACATGCTGAATATGGTTGACGACCCCGACACCAGCTTTGTGATTGAGCTCCTGGGTACCTTATTTTCCGCCTTAAGCAGTTACTTCGGCATGTGCTCAGTTGACCGAGCTGCCAACTGCCTTTGCGTTCGCCCAATGTACTTGCATCCACAGCTACAGTAGATGTGCTAACTCATGAAATGTCAACCAAAATTTCGAAATGCGTTCTCGTTTCGAAGAGATAAATTAAGTATTGTTGTAAAACCAATCATGATGCAGCATAAATCTATAATGATCCAGTTACCTCAGGGTGTCGGCTTTCGAAAGAACTTATTTTCGGCTGCATGCAAGATCTATACTCTGCAAAAAATGACTACTTAAGTAGCATGCAATTTTCTCACTGATTTTCGATGCCCTTGAAATTTCAATTATATTTCATGGAAAACATGCATAAAAATATTCATTATTTTACTTATTCGGTAGAAAATCACGTCTTCTTCCAATTTCATACTCAAAAGAAGAGTATCATTCGGTTTTAAAAAAGTTTCTAATTGTGAGATTTTTTAATACCGTTAAATGGCCGTTCATGAAACGTCATGTATCTGCATTTACGAATGTGGTTTGTAAAGTTAAAAATATTGCTCAAATCCACTGCTTAATTTTATGAACCTCATATGGTCTCCTCTTAACACCGTAGAGAAATGCATGGTTTTCCGTACACGGAAAATATACAGCTTGTAGTTTTGAAACCCTGAATGCAAGTGTAACAGCAGGTCGGGTTCGAATTATTCGGGAATTAGAAAAATTTTTTTAAACCAAATTATACTCTTCTTTAGTGTAAATTGGAAGACGACGTGATTTTCTACCGAATAAAAGAATGAATAATTTTATGCATGCTTACATGAAATATAATTGACTTTCTAGGGCATCGAAAATCAATGGGAAAATGTCATGCTCCTTAAGTAGTCATTTTTTGCAGAGCATAGATGTTGCATGCAGCCGAAAATAAGTTCTTTCGAAAGCCTACACCCTGAGGTAACTGGATCATTATAGATTTATGCTGCATCATGATTTGTTTTACAACACTACTTAATTTATCTTTTCGAAACGAGAACTCATTTCGAAATTTTGGTTGACATTTCATGAGTTAGCACATCTACTGTAGAGTTAGCTCATCCTACATTCCTGTCTTCGGTAGCCAATAACTCACTCTGAACAAAGGAGTCCGTCGCCTCCGCTTCCCCTTGAAAACGGGAGTCATTACCTGTGCGCCATGACAAGGTTTATCGTTGTTGTTTGCATTTAGTGTTTAGGTATACTGACGCAGCATCACTACGTGCACCAGAGGTGGGGGTACGAGCGATGCGATAAGCTGTTATTTCAGCAACCAACCTGTAACAATGTTGCATCCAACGTAGAGACATCAAGCAAACGCTACCTACATTACCCTTCCAAACCAAAATGAGCGAAAAAGGCAAGTCCGCGGAGACAGCTCTTGAAATTGCAATGAAACATGTAGGCCACACAGCGCATAGACAAGTTTTAGGTTACAAGCACCCACCCAATCAGTCTGCACTAACTGGCAATCCAACGTATACCTTGTGTATTTCACGGACCGCAGCCTCTGCTTCGTCGAGTCCACTGGGACCTTGTTACGCAATTACCTCATCTATACAGAAACAGCCGACGTCGTTTTGGTGCCGGCCATCTGTGAAGCTCCACAGTAGGACCTTGCACTCCAGAGGAGGGGCAGACTGGGCCCTCTGGAAAAGTAGTCAGCTAACAGGCTATGCTGAGCTTCTTTACTTATTAAGTTCCTCACTCCCTGCTGCAATCCAACCGATGTGGCGCACAGTGTTAACTACCGTTGGTTTCAGTCTTATTATCAGACTACTGTTTTCGGATATTTGCATTGGTCTTGCGTGAGGACTGAATGCTATAGCTGTTAAGGTAGCCAGAAAAAGATGTCCTTGCTTATATCACCTGTATGAGGTAAATGTAATTCAGTGGAATTTCCCAAGGCCAGCAGTGTACGAGACCCCGGAGCCCACGTAAACAAATCCAATGGACTACTGTTGGTTAAATGTACATTGGATGGAGTCATACACAAAATTCATCCTTCGTAAACAGCGAAAGTTACATGATTGTCATAAAAGGAGCAAGTTGCAACCAAAGCGCAAAATCTTGCACGGGTGGAGGATCCCGCGTGTTCGCGGAGGATAAACCAATCAGCACCATAGGCCAACTCTGTGGTCTGGCGATAGTACGAGACTAGTGGGGCTGCTTGCCGATCATTAGAAGGATCCAGATCATTGGTCTCAACTGCGCCAACAGCGAAACCAGCGTGCATGGCGGCGAGGAGGAAGTGCGAAGCGGATGGTTTGGCCCATTTGTGTCGCCAGACACCACCACCCACAGTATGAACGACCTCCTTGACTAGGGGAGATTTGGGCGCGCGCAGGTCCCAAATGCGTAGCCGCTCGTCAAAACTGCATGGAAAAATCGCAGAAATTAACGATAGTGGAGCCAGTCGCACGAGGCCCATCTACGGACTTTCAGACTTCAAAATTTTACTTTTTACATTAACAGTATGAGATCACAAAAGAGGCAAACAGCACAGTTGTGAGATGATTTACTTCCTGTAAAGCAGTCGTAATCATTTGCTGAAGACGCGAGCAGACTTTTTGGGGAAAAAACGTTCACAACAGATATTCTCGCCTAAAAGTTTACAAGTAAGTAGTATACGTCCTACAGGGCCCTTCAACTAGATCGGGGAAATAGGCGAAATCTGCCTTAAATCGTCAAAAAGCAAATACGGGTTGCATTTCGCTCATTTAAATGAAGGATACCATTCCATATTTGGGACAGTGCAGTTCACATGGAGCATTCAAGGGGGTAAAATGTTCGCACTAGGTTGCCGGGCCATAGCAGTGCAACCTTAAATACAAAAGAGGTAAACAAACAACGACTGCTACTACTGTCCTCATACTTTGAGATGAAATAATCCACAAATGAACAATCTCCCAACTCACAAATCACTTTTCTACAGAAAAGCATGCTGCAGCTTAAAAGACTAGAAGAATAAAAAATCATGGACGATTTAGTCTCCGTATTTTGTCGTAAGCCCGGTGCGAGTGCGCAGACATGCAGCAGAACCGTCAAGAAGAAAGCGTAGCGAAAACTGTGCTGAAAGTTAGAAAATTTCTAAAGGAGCGGTCTAACAGAAAACAAAAACCCCAGAGAAAACCCAGTGCACAATTTGGTCTTTCTAGATACATGGTCTACTTAACGAGGGTGGTTTGGGAGTCCGTTTGCTGCAGTGTGCGCACGCCTCAAGGCAAAAAAGCTTCCTGATTGGATTTGCAATGGGACATGACTTGGAGCTTATTCGCACAGTGAGGCAATCTAATCTTTCAGAAGGAATAATTTGAGGTCGTCACAACACCCACCAGGAAAAGCATCGCCTTTTCAAACCGATTCTTCTTGCTTATGCAAACACTTATTGTTAGAATAGAAGGAATCATAAGAAAACCTAAACCGTGAAGTACTTTAGCAGAAAATCGCGCCTCATCGAACTTGTACATTTTAAAGTAATAAGGTGGACAAAGAAGCGAGTTAAAAAATTTGCGGTTGCATTCACCATACTGCACAGCCGTTAATCACAGGGGAGTAGCTCCAATCAGTAGGTTTTTTTGCTTCAGGGCGAACTCCTCGCAGCTGTGCCATGCAGCGGCAGAATATCGGCGAAACACGCGCATGGGCTTTTAGTCAGTACCTTTGCTGCCAACTTGGTGCCCTATAACCCCAAATGTCAGAACGGCTAAATAGCCTTCTTCAGAAAGCCGATAAATTCAGGGTAGCCTCACTGACAATCGTAAATATTGCGCATAATAACGAGATGATGAGGATGTGGCCTACAAAAACACGGAAATAGAAACTCGCTCCAAATACAGGTGGCCTTTTGCTGAAGTTCAAGGAGATTAGGGTTAGGGTTAAGGTTTGGGGTTAGAACCAGGGTTAAAACACGGTACCCTGGGTTGAATTTAGCGTAAAACTCTTTTCTATTATGATGGGTTCCTATTCTGGTGTCCTAGCGCGCTGACAAACGGATTTCGATGAGACTGAGGTATCAAACTCACCAGCCGGTGGACATGATGTGTTCACAATGGGGCAGGCTGGATACGCTACAAACGCCCATTTCATGCCTACAAAAGGAGACAAGAGTTCAGTTTGATTATGAAGTAGGCAAAACATACAGAAAGACCCACCCGAAACAGTAAACACGTATATGTTAATCAGTAACGGCGTTAGCGCTCTAGTGACCTACTCGTCTCGCTCTCGCTATCTCTACAGAGTCGGTGTTTAGTTTTTCTCTAGCCTATGGAGCCTATGGAAGCTGGGCAGTCAACTTACTGTACCAGATTTGGTGGATTCCAGACGTTGCAGTAGGTTGGGCAGGTAACTTGACCCAAATGTGATTAAACTCGCGTCGTCCGGCGGGACCTCGTAGCTCAGGTGGTTAGAGCGTTGGCTGCGCTAAAGCCCTCCCCTTACTGCGTGGGTTCGAATCCCACCGAGGCGCCGAGTTTTTCACAGTTGGGTAAATATGAAAATAAGGAAACACGAAAATACCCCAAAATTTGTAGGGATTACGTTCCTAAATCGTCACGTACATGTACGCTTGCCGTCCGCCACCTTATGCCCGCCTGCGTATTCCCTGAGAAATTGGATGCGCTGTTAGCACACATAGCTCTGAGTAAACTGAAGAGGAAGATTTTACGATATTTGGAGATCGTCGTTTCAGCCTGATCGGCCTGATTAGCTTCTTTAGAGGGTTCGGCTTAAACCCGACTGCATGTTGCCAATAAAGCAAGAGGTGGGCCATCTAACGAATTATGAAACAGTTTCGAGCGCCCGTCCGGCTAACCACAGCCGCTCCGCTACATTGCCGAGGAAAGCCATCTCTCAGGGGTCTCAAGTCAAGAGCATCTACATCGTCGGGGTGCTAGGTATGAATGGGCCTCGTCGTAAGATCGAGTCTTTGGTGATACGGTCCGACCGACAGACAAGTCTAAACCAACCGGCTACTCAGGGAACATGGATCCCAGACGCCTTCCCTGAAGACTTTCACGACGTGACAGCGATGTATTCTGAGGTCAAACTACTCAGCAATGAATTCTGATGGTAGGGGGCACTCACCGATCGTTCTTACGGAAGTTACTCGTTCCGTTGTGCCTTACAGGTCCTCTCTCTTTCTCTCCCGAGCCCAACCAGCAGCCGCAAAGCGGCGTGGACTAACAGGTCGCGAGTTCGAGCCTTGGGTGTTCCACGCCTCGGGGTTGGGTATGACTGGCTGACGACGGCTAATAAACCAGAAATGGCCATTCCAGTCTCCATTGTCTTTGTCGGTAATAACAAAATTAATTCTGAGGTCAAACTACTCAAGACCTCGAGGGCCTTTCAGTAAATGTGATGCGACGCGGTAACAACTGATTTTGAAAGACTCAGTTACCTAGACTGTATGGCTAAAAGAGGGGAGACAATCATGGTATGGCAACAGCGTCAATGACAGCCACAACATCACTTCGAGGTGAATCGACCAGCTTCTAAACAAGGCACGCTCGGTCTTCGCAGCTTCCGTTCAGTTTGAAAATGACTCGGTGTCGGAATAACTGACTGCAGTTCCTCACCCATTGTGCAGATTCTTGAGGCATCCGGCAGCATTAGCTGATAGACTACATTGTCTTTCGGTCTGAATTCTCGAAAACAACTGCTAATGCAGAGACAAGAACGACTACGGTCAAGTCGATATCCAACAAGGGCGACAGAAATATTTACCACTATTCTACTACTACGGCACTCGTGTTCTCCGTCCTTTAAGATCAATTCAGCATGTGCGGTTACGAACGTACGGGAATGATCAGGGCTTTCGACAGGAGGGAGGTGTACAGTTTTTCATTTTGCCGATCCATCAGAAAGCGAATGTAGGTGGGGCAGGCCTAAGAATAAGTTCCTCAGAAAACTGATAATTACGGGTTAAGAGGAAGGCGACAACTGTTCGATAATGGTTCATTTCTTGGGCCAGTGGACCACTATTATGCTGGACCGAACTTCATTTAAATGCGCAGAGTAAGACTGATGAAGAACATCGGATCAGGAAGATCCGCAATCATTACTTGACTCCGTCGAGGCCTCTGGAATTAGCGTGAGATCAAGAACAAGTTGGTAAAATTTTCGTCATGAAAATCCGTCCGGGGCGTGGGCAGATCTTTTTGCTCAGGAGATATTCAGGGCCTGGCAATGTCTAGTTAATGGTGTGTGCTCTTCCCTCTTTAAAATTGCCTCGAAATAACGAGTTGACAGCTAACCAGAAACAAAATGGGCACTGTCTACGCACAAAACCCGCTGGCCACGCCCGCGGTAACTTGAGGGCTAAATCCCCTGGGATGCCATTTCATCAAAATTCCGTTTCGACTGGGGATGACGTTCAAATTTCCAGAGAATAATATGAGCAAAAATGGACTTGGTGCACAACAGTGGTCCCGTTAGCACGGCTAGCGGGGTTCGCGTACCAAGTGATCAGCTTTCCATAAGGATGTTGCTACCGATCGACAGAAATGAAGAGCGAAAATCTGCAACTCGATTCAGCTGCAGGTGAATCAGTCAAGGTCAAAAAAAGTTCAAGTAAGCCAATAGACTCAAAACCAGAAATTTACCGTTGGGAGAAAACAGGCTTCTCAAGTCCGTCGCGTAGGTCCCATAGGCGAGCGAGACAGTCGTCACCTCCCGAGAGGATGAGGTTGCGGTTAGTTTTGTGGAAAGCCACAGTCCATGCCTCGTAATCATGAGCCCGACAGGTGGCAGTCGTACTTGACTCTTTGATGTCAAACAGGAATAGACCGCCATCCGCTGCGGAGATGATGGCTCTAACATTTGCCTAATGAGATCCTGTGAAGTAGTAAACCGACCTACCTATTATCCAGTACATCAACTGAGAGGAGCAGGCTTGCAGAGATGCGATAGGTTGACATGTTAGGATCTTCAGGTTCACCCAAAAGGTTAATCAGACCAACTTCGCCCGTAGAAAGCGCCGCAAGGCAGACATCATCGTCGAACCAGGACAAGTCCAGAACTCCGGCAGTTTCATGTTGTTTTAGGAGTTCAACCACTTCTTCGGCCACAGTGAAGACTGTAATACCTCCTGAGATTTTTCGAGTCTCCTGCGACAAAGTTTAATTGATACAAGCAGGAAAAGATTCCCTAAAACTATAATTTAAGGCAAAAAGTCGGTCGAGATGAGACCCAAAGGTCTTTTGTTAAAACGGCCAATCTAATGAGTATTGGCAGAGGAATACAATAGGACCCGTAGCTTACGAGTAGCGAGAAATCACAGAATAAATGGTTGTCATGTAAGGCAACCAGTAAGAGAATCCGGAGTGAGTCAATGAGATAAAGTACCCGCTGGTGCGACTGCTTACAAGGAAAGACGAAGAAATTCAATAATTGCCGATAGAAGCGAACAGACGAGTTCTAGGAAGCACTTCAGAAGAAGATGCGATCACTGAAATAAGAACCCATCATCAGAGACAGTCGTAGATAACGGCGATGGAAGCTACGATTGTCTCTGAAGATGGGATGGAGTGAAGATCCAAAACGTCGGGCCAATAAACATCTTGTTCCAATGATCGCACTTTCTCCTTTCTCTGGGATTTATTAGTGTATCTTGTCGCCGCTATGCTCAATTAAAGAAAAGTTAAGTCCTGTGGTTTTGGCTCATCGGACCATAATGTGCCCGACGGCTATTCAGTAGGCCGTGTTTGTGAGAAACTGAATACGAAACAGCTACTGCAAACTTCTACAACACCGGCTTATTCGAGATCAAGGGTTATAGGTGGCTCGTAGACAATTCAGTCAAATGGCTCGATCGATGACATTGAAATGCTTAATTTTACCAAATTCCGCAGGCGCCATAAAAGAAACAAGTTCTGCATGGTGATTTGGAAAACATGTTAAATAAAAAAAAACGGGTGAGGAGGATTATTACTCACCGGATCTAGTTCATATGATCCACAGAGCAATTTGGAGTGAGACGGTGAGAATTCAACAGCATCCGTGTGGAGCGGAAGAAAGAATGAAGATACCTCCCGAAATGACATTTGACGGGATCCTTAACTTAATAATACTAGGTATGCAAGAAAAAAACTTAAGGTATCTCTGTATGTGGCAATATGACCAATTTACCATACGGTTACTGGTTGTGTATTATAAAAGGCTAAGGAGCGCTATACAAAAAACGATAACCTGCCCTTGATCGAGCACTAACCAATACGCTTTAGGATAAGACAAAAATCGAGAGCCAGCAAATACGAGCAATGCGGAAATATAATTTATTTCGATTAGATGTCATGTACAGCAAGGTTTCCAATAAACGCTGAAGAGGATCACGGTTTGTTCAGGTTGGCAATACTTGCATGTGCGTCAGCCGCCATTAGGTTTGGTGTAGCAGCATGAAAAACCGCCGCGACCCACCAAATTCGATTGTCGATTTAATCACCAGGAATCATTGTACAGTTGACGTCCCACTGACGAGCATCAGAGACCACAGGACGCAGCCATCCCTCTCGGTCTGACTTAACTTAATAAGGGAACCTTTTTATTTGGTCAGCATAACAGCAGGGCCAAATAGGGCAGGAGTTCGAAAATGACGACGCCGCGGAGGAGCTCCCCTTCGAGTAAAGGAAACCGGCGACTGAGGTGCCTGATATGGCGACCTTCAACAGCATCATCAGTGAGCGCTTGCGATGGGTGGCGAAGTCTCTTTTTTAAGACATTGGTATTTTTTTGAACAAAGGCATAACCGAGGGCTTCTTTCCGCCACTGAATACGACGGCCACTTTAAGATCTGTGCTGGGCATGCTGCATACAAGGCAAGTAAAAACAGGACAGTCGCGTGAACAGTTTGGTCTTATCTGTGGCTGAGGACAGTACATGACTATTTTGCTGGCTAAATCACTAAGATTTCGATTCAAAATCCTTCCTTAGAGTGAAGGTTGGCGCAAGTGTCCAATGTCGCCCCAAGAAAATTGTACGGCAGATCTGGAAGCAATCACCGCGTCGTCCTCTGCATGGACGCCATCGAATATTCTGTGTTGTTATTGACTGGCCATACTTAATGCGCTAAGACGGCCCGGAACAGGAACTCCAGAGTTCATATGCGACAAGGGGCCACCACAGCTCAGATCAATCTTGTTTACGGCGTGCGTGAGTGAGCCAGCAACTGGCACGCTGCCTGGTCATAAACGATATCCTCGTACAAAAAAACCGGAGGGGTCTGTCCTGACAAGTGTTCGGGGGCCAACCAGTGCAAACGCACAGGTTCGAAAATCCCCTGGCTCCGAATAAAAGCCCCTGGAAAGGTCGATATAAAAGCCGGCATCCGCAAGAAGTCGTAAGCCACGTGGATTATTAATTACATGTTCCACGACTGAGCACGGTGCCTACTCGAACGGCCCACAGGCGGTACCAAAAACACCGATAGGTCATAACGGGAACAACTGGCGACGTTACGAATACAACACGAACCAGCCCGGACACTAACAGCGGTCTCAGCACCTAAGCCAAGAGGAGGATGGTTACGACCATTTCCAGAACCGCTAGATATGCGCCTGTCATGACCAATGGATCACCTCTCCAAGCGGGCCAACTGGATCGGTAACGCACTCGACCTCACATGCCTCGCAAATTCACAAAATAGTACCGTCGTTCTATACTGGGAATTCTCTTAACGAACGGTGGGCCATAGCGTTGATGGATATATGCGAAACTATATCCATCGTGAACTCACAGGCATTGTCACAAAACGGTACTTGCAAATGGACAATAGGCCACAAAACGCAAACTTAACGACCGCGGATGCTTCCCTGCTAAATTGCATTGGTAGTTTATTATGACGGCTAACGCTTCAATCTGATTAGACAGTATGTCTATTTGGCAGTGCCGGGGTTAACCTTGGGTGTCTTACTAGTGGTCGATTTTCTCGACCCATACTATTGCACCATCAAGGTCACACAACGCACCATAAAATCCCACAGGCATAAATGTACGAAAGGAGACTATCTTACAAATGATCGATGAATTGGTGCGCGCCGCTACCAAAGTAGCTGCTGCATTACCCGCCGTCCACATCGACACTATGCTATCTGGCGCAGCCAGTGTTCCCGTAAAATTTGCAAACATTACTGAGGAAGTTTGGCGAAATTTTCGTCAGGGGTGATGACGCTATGGGCAGAACTGCAAACTTAGCATACTCCATAAAAGCGGGCAGTGTCAAATCGGTCTGACAACCACCCGGACGAATACCTACCGTTTTCCATGAGAAAGTCAGCTAACTCGTTGACTCGATGCTTGCAATCCGAGTCATACAGCCGTCAAAGTCACTTTGGCACCGCCCGTGACGTTATTCCCAAAGAATGATGGGAAATTGCGTCTTTGCGTAGATTGGCGAGGATTAAACAAGCTGACGACATGTGATCCTTTTTCGCTTCCCCACACCAAGTTACCCTCGACGCGTCGGCAGGGCACACTGGCTTTCTGCATTCGATCTAATGTCGGGATACTGGTAGGTGTAAATCGAGACTACAGACCAGCAGAAAACAACGTTTACCGTTCCACAAGGGCCGTCCGAATTCGAAACGATGCCCTTTGCGTTACTTAGCGGACCACCTACGTTTCAATGTCTGACCACTAACTACCAACTCGATGTCTGGTGTATATAGACTTAAGTTCTTGAGCGCTCGACAGAACTCCATTAATAAAACCTCTCGGCTGTTTTAGAGGCACTACGCGATGCAGGATTACGTCTTAATCCACAGAAGTGCACCTTCCTACCCGATACGGCTACGTATTTGAGACATGGCATCTGTGGAGCAGGCATCCACGCTTCTCCAGAGAAAATTAGTGCAGTTCAAATGTGGCCTATTCTTAAATCAGAGATCGAAATCCGCAATAACCTTGGGTCAGCGTCGTATTCCCGGAAATCCATCCTACACTTCACATGGTTGCGACCACTACATCGCTTAACGGAATATTCAACTAAAATGATGAATCTCATGCTACTTTCAACGAGCTAGAAGCTCATCTCGAGTCCGCGCCCGTATTCAAACCTCTGAACACGAAAACAGACGCGCCTCCGTTTAAAATTGAACGCACGGCTGTCACCAATGGAACACCCACGTTATCCTTGTTGTCCTCAGGCGTCGATTCTTCAGTTCCCTTAGACTTCTTCACGGGACGACCTTATATGAAGTGTCCTACGATTGACTGCCTATGCTGTTCGAAAGACCGAATTGCACAAGGGTACCCTAGTTGCAGGCAAATTCACTAACCCCCTTTTTCCTGTGTGGCTGTAGATACATCCATGGAGTCCAGTGATGAAGAAGACGGTCGCCGCAGGCCTACCAGACAGCATAAGAATCCTTACGATAGTCTGTCCTGGGAGCCGGACGAGCCGCCCCTGTCACCCATGTAGGAAGTTAAGGACTCCGACATGGATTCTCTAGATACACAGACAACACGAAGGCAGATAAAAAAATGAAGGAATAAAAGCTTATGCGCAGGCAGTTGGCATGGTTGGCCAAGAGTAACCTGCGTGCGCATGAGCGCCTGCAGCTCATGAGGTCATTTTCGAAAGACGGACAGACAGCATCTAATGGCTCGTCGACTGCCTTGCCATCTAATCCCAATAGGCGGCCTCTATGCACGAAGTCCGAGTTCACTGCCATCAATAGCGGGCTTTGCGACTTACAGTAGAGGTCGACTGTTACGCTTTGGAAAATGTCACAGCATATTTTTAGAGGGATTTTCTGATCTGTCTAGGCGGAAGGAACACCAACGCCTTTGTCCAGGTGTTTTATGCCATAGTTGATTTTTATGTGACGACATACATTAATTTCAAGGGCAAAAATAAGGAGGACCTGTGAGGTTCACAGGTATACGAGATAACTAAAGGTACGTTAACGCATCTGCAAGTCTTATACTGCTAAATAGAGGTGTATTCCTTGTGGAACAAGGGAGGCCGTGTAGACGCTTATGAAGTAAAGGCCGCTTTCACAAGGCGACCAAAACGTTCCCTCCAAGCGAATGGGCTAACAAGGAATACGGTTCGTTGGTTATAAAAGGAATACTGGGTAGAGAGGAGCACATTTAGTGCTGCCGTCGCACAGCGTGGTATCGCGACTTTTCGCTGTCGCCCTGATATGGAATTGCTATTAGGGGTTCAGGCAAAAAGCCGTCAGATAGCTCTTGGAATAGGAACAGTTTATTGGGAGACAGCGACAAACAAAACAATAAACAAACAATATTACAGAAGGTGTATAACATTCTGCACGACAGTCTGTCATGGAAGGGTCTATCCGACAGTAAACTCCGGATCGATTATTGGGCGAGCCAAGGGAGGCGTGGAGTTGAGAGCTGCTAAGGGAGATGAGACACAGTCTTTAACGCGATTGGCTAAACAAAAGAGTCGCGGGCCGTGCGTACCGCAACGCGAAAGGCAACACAACCGAAACACCAAAAATATCGCAATAAACATGAATCAGTAAA